GCAGCGCACTACAGAACACATCTACAGCATGCTTGGAAACCATCAGTACAGCCTTGCCAGCTTAGAAGAATTGTTGGGAAGGATCCAATGTGACATTTATGGTTTGAAGACTAGTATGATTAGAAGTGAGAAGACCACAAGAAGCTTTCTAACCTCTTGGTTTGAAGAAACACAAGAAAAGGAGGACACTTATTTCCCAACAAGTACCTGCAACCCACCTCACTAGCCACCATAATTCCATAGTCAAGCTAACTGACTTTAACCAAGCCCTGAGTGGGAGGCAACCCACTGTTAGGTACTTTATTTCTTTCTTTTATTTTCTTTTTACTGATTAGTTTCATTTTTATTTGTTTTTAGGAAGCTATACACACGATCCATACCTATCGACCGATACAACCAGTCGATATCGCTCGACACAGACCAACACGCATCGATCGACGATGGCGACTCACCATCGATCGATACCCATATCGGTCAGGTATATCGTTCACCATTTTGATATCAGTTTACACATTTGATTTTTCCAATGCTCTTCTTCTGACTGATTATACACTGAGGACAGTGTATGATTTAAGTCTGGGGGGGGGGAGTTGATTACTGATGATACTTTACCTCTTTTTGATCTTTTTATAAACTTTTCAAAAATTGGTTTTATTGAGTCAAGAAAGGGAAAAATTTTCAAAGTCTTACGCAGAAAGTACTATAGATGCTAAAGTGGATCACCGATCACCTATGTCAACACTTTCATGATTGTCTGGAAGAACCAAAGCTGATTTCCAACCTAACCTGACATATATTGTTTGTCTTGGGGCTTGGTATACAAGGGATCGGAATCCTCTTGTAAGTCTGGAAGGTAAAAGTCTCACAAAATTTGGTTTCCTTCTTTCCTTCCTTCGGCATCCCCAGAGAATAAAAGACTGATGTGATTTCCTGAGAGGCAGAGGGAGAGGTACATTACCTATGACCCCACTATTCTAAATCAAAGGAATGATCAAAGCGGGGGAGAGGTACATTACCTATGACACCACTATTCGCTTACACTTTGTCAAGAAAGATCAATAAGATGAACATTAATTGTTCATTGGGATTGATATAAAAAAAGAGAGAAAGAAAGAGTTGGGATTCAGAGAAGGGGGATAAAGAAAGAAAGGGAACCAGGATGAGAATGCCTGAAACTTGTTTGAGTCGAATCCAAGTGTTCCTTGATCGATACTCCCAAGGTAAAGCCTACACCTTTATTTTTATGCATAAATGAAATCAGTAGAGGGGATAGACAGACAAGGAATGTCTAAGTTGATTTGCTAAATGTATTTGGTTGCTAAGCTAGGATATGGTATAATGTACTTCTGTAGTTGATAGAAATGAGATGTGGCTTGCAACAAAGTAAGAGGTTATGATTTTAAAGTTGAGATTTTGATTGATTCCCTGCTGTTTTTAAACTTCATTCAAAGACTAACTTAAGGTTTGCTTGAGGACAAGCAAAAGGTTAAGTCTGGGGGAGTTGATATACCATGATTTTGACCCGTTTTTGGTCATGATTTCTATATGTTTTTATTATAATTATCTATGTTTTGGAGTCTATTAGGTATGTTTTTAGGTTCAGGAGTATTTTGTCGTAAAGTGATGATTTAGGTGCCTTATGGAGCTTAAAGGAGAGTTTTACAAGTTGACTATGAAGATCCGACATTCAGAGACACATATCGATCGATACACACCTTGTGTAATCGATCGATGACGATTCCGTAGAAGTTGAAGTCGAGATACTCCATCGATCGATGTACGCAATGTACCATCGATCGATACAGAGCGTGATGAGCAAGATTTACTTGGCCGACTTGAAGCCCAAGTTCTCACAAAATTACAAGACTGCCCCTAACGAGTTTTTAACCTAATTGTACTCCATAATTATAGTTATGCCTATGAGCCCTAGAAAGAGAACCATTAGATCTATTAAGAAAGTTTTGTATTTTATTTTACCTAAGCAATAAAAGTATTTTCTTTTCATCTTATTCTTTTGCTATGAATCTCTTGGTTATGTCTGAGTAGATTCATCTGTTAGATTTGGGGTTTAAATAGTTATGAGGGATTAGCCCAACTATGGATTGTTGAGTTGTTATATTCATTATCCAAATGAACCCTAATGCTTACTCTAGATTTGCTACCTAGAGTTATGATTATGGAGTGACTAATCTAATAGTCATTTTCCTGAAATCATTTGGCTAAACCCAGACTCTATTAAGGCTCGATGCGACAGCCGGTCTAATAGAAATTGTCGGGTGAACACAGTTTCAATCCGATCTGATACTTTATATCGATCGATACTCCTCTAGAGTCATCGATCGACGGCAGCATATATCGATCGACCCTGCGATAGCAACATCGATCGACACTCTCGCAAATCAGATCAATGGAGAAGTTTAATAGCGACAGCTATAGATTTGTCTAAGGATTGAAGTTCTAATATATTTGCAAGCAATTCGTTAAGACATCCATAGATTTATAATCCTGATTTCTGAATAGTAACCTTGAATCTAACTATTTTCTTTCATTGTTTTCAAACCCAAAACCTATTTTCCTTAGCAACTTACCATTGCTACCTATTTTTATTTATTGTTTTAAAACATTTTCAACCTAGCTTAATAACTTAGGAATATATCTTTTGTGACTCTAGTTCCTTGTGGATTCGATCCCTAAGTACTACGATTGAACCTCTTATTTGAGAGAGTAAATCACTCCTTAGGGTTAAACATTTGACTGACATCAACTATTAAAGCATAATCTCTCATTGAATTATGCCCTTGATTTTATGAGTTAATTATGATGGTTTTATTTACGATTGTTTGCCATTGTCTTTTACTACTTTTTAATTAAGAAAAAATTGCATAAAAAGTCTTTAAAGTGGCACTTACTAATATTTTAAACCTTGAAGTTTTTTCATTAACACTTTAAACCTTCAAAGTGACATTTGTAACATAAAAATACATTGCACCTGAAAAAAATGACTTGTTGAACAGGTAAAACATATAATTTTCAAATATTTTCCAAAAATAAACATTTAATAAATAAAATCAGAAAATTTAATAAATAATAAAAAACCAATCAAAGTAAAAATTTAAAGTAAATTTGCAAAAAATTAAAGAAAAATTCAGAATATAAATAAACACTAAAATATTAAATTGAAATACCGAAATTAAATAAAATTTAGAAAGTTCAACAAAAATTAAAGAAAATTCACAAAAATTTAAATTTCAATAGTTCAAAATAGTTATTAGAAAATTACAAGACATGTTTTTAAATATTTGAAACCATCAACGTCAACAGTGATATATTTGAAACTTTTATTGTCAAAAATGATATGTAAATTGTTATTGGAAAATAGCATAAATTAAAAGATTACTTTAAAAAATTCAATTATCATCGTTGACTATAAAAATTTCAAAAATATCAGTATTAACGATGATGGCTTCAAAAATGTTTCTTGAAATTCATAATATTGTAATTAAAAAAAAATTGAATTGCTAATTTTTGTGATATTTCTTTATTTTATTTGATAATTTCATGTATTTTAATTTTATCATATTTATATTTTTATTTAATTCTGAATAATGTTTTATTTTTTAATTTTCTAATTTTTACTTAGATTTTTTAATTTTATGTGTTCATTTATTAAATAATTATTTTGTAAATTTTCTTTCCATCTTTCCAATTTTTGTGAATTTTCTTTAATTTTTTTAATCTACTAAATTTTATTTGATTTTATATATTTCAATTATTTTTTTTTTCAAAAACTTATGTTTTGAAAATTTGCTTTAGTGTTTTGAAATTTTACTTTAATTTCAATTTTTATTTATTAAATGTTTATTCTTGCAAAAATCTGAAAATTACATGTTTTACTTTTCCAACAAGTCAGTTTTTCAAGTTTGTGGATTTTTGTGATATAAATATCACTCTGAAGATTTAAAGTGATAGTGAAAAAACTTCAAGGTTTAAAATGTCAGTACAGAGTTTTAATGCGATTTTCCTTTTTATTTAATATCCGTCCGAATATTTATGACCAGTCAGAATCAAGGCTTTTATGATTGTAACATTTACTAGAGACTTTTCCCGGGCTACGCCCGGGTTTTTCCATATATTTTATTTTTGTTTAGTTTATTATAGAATATGTTTGACTACATATTATATATTTAGACTAAATAATCTATATAAATTATTAAAAAATTGAAATATTTTGTATTGTTTTTGGTAACTAAAATTATAAAATTATGATTTTTCATTCAACATCAAAATAAATATAAGTTGGTCAACCAACTGAATAATTTTTTTTATTTCAAATTCAATCAACCGCTATAAATAATAGTGTAACGCCTCAACAAATTTCCCTAGGAAGCAGCTCCATCCTTATCTTAATTCCTACTCCACCATCAATGTAATAGTATAAAGCCACTGTATAATCTTCAGCTATTGAGATCACTCCCGGTGACGTAGTACAAATCTTAAATACGTTTCAAATGAAACATTACCAGAAAGTTTGAAAAAATCCAGAGTTTCTATTAGAGTTGTAGGGATTAAGAGCAAGAGAAGCTATTGTTAAACATAGCACCGAAGAATACTCTTAATGAATAACTCGATCTCTCTCGAACGTTGGTTTGGAAATCTTTGTTCTTAATGTCTTCTTCAGAAAAACATCTCTATCTTCTTGTGGCTTCGTTACGTTTAGCATACGTTTGATTTTTATGCTTAGTCAAGTGTGCTTAAGTATGTTAATTAAGTATTACCTAGATAATAACTTATAGTCACTCTTTTGTCTTTAATTTATAAAAGGATCAATAAAAACGCACACTTTTAAAAAGCTGTAAACCATATCCCTCAAATTCGGTTAATATAAAATATTGAAGGATTAAATTTACTATAGATACTGTCAAAAGATCAACAATAAAATATTATATACTTATACTCCAAAACAACGAACATATTATTTTTGTCTAAACGATCATACATTTTATTGACACCAAACCAAATTGTCAAGTCTTTTTTAATTTAATCTTCTCTAACTTCTTCATCCCAAGCTTCCAGCTTAATCATTCCCCAGCTCTCCAATACTCCATCAACGTTCAATCCCTCTGCAAGCTTAATTCAACAAATGCAATCATCATCTAAATGTTCATCTACAATACACAAAGGATCTTTATATTTAAGAGATAAGTCGAGGGAAGGCTTATTTTGATAATCATTCACACACGTATAATATTTTCAAATAGATGGTATCTTCTTCGCTAACAATATCTGAAGTAGAAGGTTTTCAAAGACAGTCTCCATCGCAGGCTACATAGTTTAAAATTAATTTCTCAAAAATCAGGCCATGATTTGAATCACGATTGAATATGAAAAATAATTTAACAGGATTGAAGACATACAAATGATATGGAAACTATTTAGAAAAAACGATGAAAAATACTTGGAAGGAGATGAAACCAATCCTGCAGTGGCCATGACATGTAGCAGATTGCAGTAAACTATTGTTATAACCCCACAACTTCCAAACTAACAAAGAATTTACCTTCTGTATTGTGATCATGAATACTCCCATATCACTTTCTAGTACCATCCTTTGCGTCACTGGAAAACATGGAAACACACAAATCAATTAGCATAGTTGGAGCATATTTCCAATAAAAGATTTTAGCTGCAGGTATACACTTAACTCTTTTTATCAGATCAGAACTCTTCTAGCCTAACATTCTCTTACACGTTGTGTTTCTCAACCATAGTGGCCGTTTTGTTTGCCCTTCTTCTCTTCTTATTTTTCTGATGGTTCTTTGACTGCGTCCTTACTGCCTTTATTTTCTCATCCTTCTGCTTGTACTTATTTGTGACCCACTGCTGCACCTCTTTTGGTCATTTTGTCCAACTTCAGCAACTTCCTATGCTCGGCTTCCTATACTGCATTTGCAAGTAACTTTTTCTTCGTCTCTCTGTCATTGACTGTGCGTTGAGACTGCAAGAGTCAATGAGAATTTTAAAAGATGAAAAGCGTATATGAGTCCGAGTTATGAAAGAATACAATGATGATGAGATCAAGTATTGACACTTAGGTTGATCAGGTCGCTGAAGAAACGACTCTTCTTTTGAGGTAGTAAAGGAAGGTCCACCAGATTGGTATGTTCCTGTATAATCAGTCCCTGAAGGAGATAACGGCGCCATTCCATAAACAGAGCTTGGTCTAATAGATGGTTGTGTTTCAGGCAAAGGCATTGCAGTTAAAGAAACCTAATAAAATAAAAAAATCAAATGATTCACTTTAGCAAATGGGGAATGAGGAGATGAAGGCTTTTAACCTGGTAAGGATTCCAGCCAGGGTATGTAACCATCCCCGGAGGCAGAACCATAGGAGGACCGTAATGACTTGGAAGATAAGAACCGGGTAAAAGAGAAGGCCTTGCCAAAACTAAACCATTTAGTGGAGAGGGTTGAGACTGAAGTGTTTGATAAATAGTGTGTAGCTGCGGTTGAGGCTGGGGCTGCTGCTGAGGTGGTGGTGCTTGTGCAGAGAGAGGCACTGGATGGTTGAATTTCCAGGTCAAACCAAATTTACACTGACCGGTCCTCATGTAGTAATCGCACTCTTTCTCCCCCTGTGATCAATTTAAGAGGAGCTTTAATAAAAATGTGTGTATCCATCAATAAATCAATTGAGAGAGAGTATAAAACACAAACCGGGCGTAATGGATATCCCAAATAACTTAGCGAGACAGGCGCAACAGACCCACCTCCTTGCCTACGATGATGATACTTGCAAGATGCACCGAACTTACACGTTCCCGTTCTCATAAAATGCTAACAACCAAAAAGAAAAAAAATCTAAAGTTTCTTACAAAACAAAACTGCATTGCTCAAATCTGGTTTGTATTGTTATTAAAACAGAGATTGAGTATTAAAAAATACCTGACAAACCGGTTGTCCCATCCTCTCCGGTGAAGCTCCATCTCCTCCTCCTCTAACACCTCCAATAACCTAATCACGAGCTTACAAAACTCAATTCCACAATCTGAAACAGAATAATTAAAATTGAGAAACTTTATTGCCGCTCCACGATCTCGTGGGTGATTAAACCGACATCTTGACCCATACCCGCAAGCTCCGGTTCGCAAGTAATAAACACAATCAGGCTCATCTGGTCTCTCTGGATACGATTCTCCTCCAGCTCCGCCGCCGATCAAACCTGACCGCCACACCAAAGCTACAAAAACACACATTTCAAAGCAAGATCCTGAGGCTGCATATGACGTGGCAGTAATGAAGTTTATCGATAGGATAACATAACCAAAGGGGGAGATCTATATATACAAAGTTGGGGAGGAAGATGAAGGGAGAACTCCATTGAATCTCAATGAGAGGAACTGAAGATTGAATAGATTGAAGCAGATAATTGATTAGAAGAGGAGTGGGTTAGATTAATGGGGAAAAAAGTGAAGCGAAAAGATCGCAGGTGAGGGAGTCGAAAGGAGAGGGAGGATATGGAGACTACTTATTCTGCCGACACAAACCCAAACCAGTATTTCAGAAAACCAAACCGAAAATCCCAATTTTTTTAGAACCAAAATCAGATGTCAAACCGAATATGACGTGGAAAAATAAAGCCTCATGATTGGTTGAATATTTCATCCCACGTGGACAGCCTCATTTGGCTTTATTATCAACTTTTATTCATAGTAGATACGACAAAATCAATCAAAAAAAGTAAACTATCTTAAAAAAACTCCTAGGCGATGGCTATGGCCACAAGATTTTTTTTAGGGTTTGAGATTGATCAATGATTTTTAGTTTTTTTTTGTCACATATTTTAGGGTCATTCAAGGTTTTTGTTGGGGTCGAAATCAGTACGACGGAATCAATGACCAAAACTTTTCGCAAAACTAAAAATACGTTTTATATAACTCGAGAACTTGTTTTATAAAATTCTAAGAACTTTCCGAACAGAGGAAATCCACGGAAATTAGGAAATCATCATCTCGGAAGAACGAACGAAACAATCGCCGATTACACGATTGCCCAAGTTAAGCGAAAAATCGCATCCGCCAAAAACCGCGAGTAGGTTTGACCGAACCAGTTCAACGTACGACGAGCGGAACCAGCTCGCCGTACGGCGAGCTGGTCGCTTCAATGCAGCTCGCCATACGGCGAGCTGGTCGCCTCAATGCAGCTCGCCGTATGGCGAGCTGGTCACCTCAATGCAGCTCGCCGTACGACGAGCTGATTCAACCCGGTTCGCTCGCCGTACGTTGAGCTGACCATCCCGAGCCTCGATCTTCCGCATCCTTGACGCAAGGAATACTTCCTTCGGTTTGATCATGCACTGAACCATGGTCGAAACGTCTCTCATTTCGTCTCGATATGTCTTACCGCTCAAGTTTTACGATAAAAATCATAAAAGTCTTCTTTTCTCATAAAGTTCAGGAAGATCGTACAAAACGGCAGCGATTAAACGGAACATCGTACATTTCCAAACTATGCAATTAACTCGAGAAATCTTATAAAAACGTCGTCGTATCAATCGCCGATTACACGATTTCCCAAGTTAAGTGAAAAACCGCACAAAACCGCATCCGCCAAAAACCGCGAGCAGGTTTGACCGAACCAGTTCAACGTACGAAGAGCCGAACCAGCCGGTTCAGCTCACCTCACGGCGAAGTGGTCGGTCCTGGACTAGCTCGCCGTACGGGGAGCTGGTCGTCGTACGGCGAGCTGGTCGCCTCAATGCAGCTTTCCGTACGGCATCGTATCAGGAAACGATCTCGTGTAAAATCGTAAAACGGTTTTTATCGCAAAACGGCTCGGACAGCCAAAAAGCGCGATAAAAGCCCACTTGGGACTTTAAAAAAAAATCCAGCACAAACATACAATGACGGTTTGATGATTTACTCGAAGAAAGAAGATAAATGTCAAGTTTGAAGATAAATGTCAAAATTGAAGATAAATAGAAGATTTCCGCACGAAAAATGGGAAGATCGAGATAAATGGAAGACTCTCGATAAACTCGAATCTGGGCAAAAAAGAAGGACTAAACCGCCTAAGGAGGGAGTATATAAGAAAAGGCAAAGGACAGAAGCAAGAGACGAGTTCTCAGAGCTTTCACCACCAAAACATAGCGTTTAGGCAACTTTCTGTTTTTGTTATCGAGCTGCGTCTCAACTAGGATTTTAGTCTTAGATTGCTAGAACTAGGAATCTTGCTGACGGCTCACGCAGCTAAGGCTACTCTTGTTGTACCGTTGTTACGCGAATTCGGAATAAGACTCCTTCTTGCTCTTAATCTCGTTTTTCATACTTTAATTTTATTCTCATCGTGTTCTTGATTGCTTGTGTGCGGTTCTGCAGATAGCCGGGTCCTCTGGGAAATTAGGGTTTTCCCTAAGTTCCTAAAGTTACGTAAAATTGACTGGGGTGAATTTCGGTTCCCACAGTTTAACGCTAGAAGGAGGGGGGGGGGTCGGATCTATCTTACACTCAAGCCGCAGCACGCTCAATCGAGAAGCGATGTCTGAAGAACAACCAACTCGCATTGATGGCGACAACGTTGAAAACACACCAGTTATAGATGTGCCCGCGGTTAACGCTAACGCTAACACTGAGGCCGTCGAGAAGATGCTCTCCGATTTGAACAAGAAATCGGAGGAGGAAGAAAAGCTCATCGGTTCACTCGCAAAACTGGTTGAAACCTTAACTACGAGAACCAGGGCAATTTGCCCCCGCAGAACCACTAGGATCTGCGGAAGAAGGCTAAATTTCGGGACTCCTACGAATCGCCCCAGAACCGAGCAGGGAAATCTGCCGGAGCAAAACTCCGACAAAGATAACCTGACGCGATGCTGAATGAATCAGACAAATCTCTTACTCGCAGACAGGAGACCGAGGAAGACGGCGTCGAGAGGGTTAACCTGGAAACACTACAAGAAAACTCAGCCAAGGAATCTTTACTAGGAAAATAATTCCTCGTAAAATTACTACGGGTTTACTTCGAGTTTACGAGGAAACCACTTTTCCTCGTAACGTTGTCATAAACTTACGAGAAAACAGTTTCCTCGTAAACTGGTAGTAGCCTTACGTGGCACTTACGAGGAAAATAAAATTTTCCTCGTAAACTCATAGTAATATCTTTCCTCGTAAAGTCCTAGTAATAGTTTACTACGAAATTAGGAGGAAGATATTTATTACTACGAAATTAAGAGGAGCTCGATAGAAAATATCGAATTTAAATAAAAAACATGTTTTGTACCTACTTTTCCTAGCAATTTCCTAGTAAATTCTCAGATTCGAAAATTTCTATAAATACCACCGTATGTGATTCATTTGAAACACACCAAAAAAAAAATCAGCTATAAGCTTGATCAAACACAAACAAAAAATGTCCGGTCCGGGAAATATTTTCGAGTTGCGGAAGTGGATGTATTCACACAGGGATAATAACGGGAGGGTGACGAAAGAATTTCTCGAAGGGTTGGAGACGTTTATGCATCAAGCAGATTCTACACCACTCACGCAGGAAAGTGGTAAGATGTTCTGTCCTTGTCGGAAATGTTGCAATACCAAATTAGGCCCTCGTGAAAATGTTTGGAAGCATTTAATAAATAGAGGTTTCATGCCATATTATTATATTT